TGTGGCTATCCTGGAGGAAGCACATCACTGGGGGTGGGCTTAGAGAATTCTTAAGCCTTGCCAGATCTCCAGCTGATCTCTTGCTTCCTGTGCCTGTGTGATGATGTGAGAGCTTAGCTTCTGCTGCTCCTGCTCCAGCCACCTCCAGCCACCATGCCTCCCTGCCATGACACACTGTAATTCCCTTGGAAATGAAAGCTCAAATAAACTCCTTTCTATAAATTGCTTGGGTCAGTGTTTCTATCACAGCAACAGAAAAGTGACTAATACATGCACAATGAAATTTTATGTACCACTCATGACATTTGCAGGAAAATGGGTGTATTTTTCCCTTAGCATTGTACTAAGGGAAATAAGATAGACTCAAGACAAAAACTGCCTGTTTTCTCTCCAATGCAGAACCTAAATTTAAAATTGTATGTATACATGTATTTATACCTGTGCAATGAGATTACACATAGATTATGAAATTAGGAAGGAAGAAAGCAATCTTCAGGGTGGTGGGAAGTAGGGTGATGAAATACATGTGGAAGGAAAGCAGAAAGGGAGATTAATTGGAGAAGAAAAGGAACCAGCTGCAAGGGGGAAGGGGGATGGCAGTGGGGAAGGAGAATGACTGTGAACAAAGTAGGACATACACATGAAGAGGCCATGATGAAACTCTGTACTTCGTGTACTAAAAAAAAAATAAAAAGAGATTAAAATGACAACAGCAACAACCAACTTCTTCTCTGGAAATTAAAAATGCATAGCAAAGATGATTTATACTTATTCTGCACCTGACTCTGGTCTCCTAAATATGTAAGAAAGCAGTAGAGAAACTCTACATTAAGAACTTGAAATCCTCGTTTCTCTGAAATGGAGGCTGTTGCTATGCTGAAGGAGACTATAAAATGATTACTAGAACTTATATACTATAATAGCAAATGCCTTTTTCCATGAATGACAGTATTTTGTTGACTCTTAGATGCCTCTATTTATTATAAAATATTACTGTTTTATGTACCAACAAGAAAGGAAAGATATTGTCAAATATGGCATCAACTGAAATCAACATGAAAAATACATATGCCTCAGATCTATGAAATAGAGTACTGGACTATTCACTAACTGATATCCTTAAGTAGGTGTGTGGACAGCTTCAGCTGTCAACTTGACACACCTGGGAAGAGGGAACCTCAGTTGAGGAATTTCCTCTATCAGATGGGCTTATGGGCATGTCTGTAAGGCATTTTCTTGAGTCTTGAGTGATGTGGGAAGGCTCAGCCCACTGTGAGTGGGAGCAGGTGGTCCTGGGTTGTATAAGAAAACAGGCTAAGGGAGAAATGGCTCAGGGGGTTAAGAACACTGGCCACTCTTGCAGAGGACCCAGGTTCAAATCCCAACACCCACATGGCAGCTAACAACTATCAGTGTCTCCAATTCCAGTGTATATGATGCCCTCTTCTGTCCTCTGTGGGCACTACATGACACAGGTATAGTTGTACACATGCAAGCATGACACTCATACACATAAAATAAAAATAAATAAATAAATTTTAAAAAATTGTTTTAAAATAAAGCAGGCTGAACACAGGCCAGAGGAGCAGGCCAGTAAGCAGCATTCTTCCATGGTCTCTGCTTCAGTTCCTGCCTCCAGGTTCCTGCCCTGAGTCCCTGACTCACTTCCCTCAGTGATGAACTATGACCTGGGAGTTTTAGCATGAAATAAACCCTTTCTTCCCCAAATTGGTTTTGGTCAGAGTGCTTTTCCATAGCAACAAAGAAGCAATCTAGGATAGAAGTTGGTACTGAAGAGTGAGGTATTGCTATGAAGAACCTAGCCATATTGTTTTGGTGGGGGGGGGATTGTGGAAGTTTTGGATTTGGGGGCTGAAAAAGTCATTGAGGGCTTGGAGCTTAGTGAGCTGTTCTGTGGAAGCGTGGAAGATAGAACAGTGAGATAAATGTAAACAAATGGAGGCCTGGCTTGTGAAGTTTCAGAGGGAAATCTGACCCACAAATACTCTAACCGAGCTGTTTGTCTGATACTTTGATTAAGAATCTGTGGAAGTGCCGGGCGTGGTGGCGCACGCCTTTAGTCCCAGCACTTGGGAGGCAGAGGCAGGTGGATCTCTGTGAGTTCAAGGCCAGTCTGGTCTACATAGTGAGTTCCAGGACAGCTGGGGCTACAGGGAGACCCTGTCTCAAAAAGACCAAAAAAAAAAAAAGAATCTGCGGAAGTGAAACAGCTTGTGCTTTACTGGGACACCTGATGCTGTTTAGCTTAGCTGGGGCTGTAAAATCAGCTGTGATTAACAAGAGACCAGCATCATTGTGGTGAAATCTTCTGGTAAGTATTTCCTCAGGATCAGCACACAAGCTGTGGCCCAGGGGAGGATCAAGGCTGCATCTCAAGTTGGAAGCCAAACTTGGCAATGAGTACAAATCTCCCATATGGAGTCTTTTAGATAGACCCACTGAAGGGGTACTCCAATTGCCTCACCCTGCGTCCCTATTCAGCATGGAAGAAGCCAGAGCAGTCTGTGACCCGACTGCTTATGGGCAATTTGGGTAACCTCTTCAGAGGATGGTGTGACAAGAATAGGAAGTAGGAATTGGCTAGGCAGTTAGGGTAAAAGGACCCCAAAGAAAAGTAGCCAGTTTCTTGGCTAAAATTCACATCCTTGGGCCTCATGGCAACCTACTCTGTTCCAAAGGCCAAAAATGTCAAAAATATTTGGGAGCTTTTATCTAATCCTTAAAGGATTTTAGGGTTACTGCTTCAGAAGGGGGAGTGTTAGAGTAGCCAAAAGCCCCATTAAAAAAAATTAAAGAAGAAAGAGTACATGAAGTTATCAGAAAAAAAGCGATGGAGAGACATGGGAGCACTTGGAGGGGAGGGAGTGGGCATGGATTTGATCAAAACACCTTATATGCATATATGAAATTCTCAATAAATTATTAAAAAAAAAAGAATCTCCCATATGGTACTGGTTTTGGTGGCATGAAAACTTACAGAATTGAAGGGCTCATGGAAAGAAGCTGAGGCTTTCCCCTGAGAGGCCAGGAGAAGCCATTGGTGAAGGTCCAGCCTCACTTGCAGTGGAAATCCCAGCATATTAGAAATGCTAAGGTCACAAGACAACCACCAAGGGCAGTGGCAGGTGTGGAGTAGAGCTGGCCTGAACCTATGAGACAAACTGAATGTGCTGTGGATAGTGGAGCCAGAGAAGTGGAGCTGCCCAAGTCTTTTGGAGCCCAGAGGATTGTGAGTGAATCCCAATGTCTATGCTAATGGACTTTGGTTTTGCTTAAGCGTACCCTGGTTTTTCCCTCTTGAAATAAGACATATGTATGTAACTTATTAAGGATTTTATAGGAGCCTACAGTTAAGAGATTTATAAATAGACTTGCAACTTTTAAAGTGTTTTAATTTTTTAAAGATTGTGGGATTTTTAAAGCTATACTATGGTTTTTTGTAATATTTTATTCATTTTTATTTTATGTGTATGAGTGTTATGCCTGCATGTAGGTAAGTACACCTGTGTCCTGCAATGCCTGTGGAGGACAGAAGAGGTTGTCGGATCCCCTGAAACTGGAGTTATGGACAATTGTTAGCTGCCACGTGGGTGCTGGGATTCAAACCCAGGTTGTACCATGTTTTATGTTATATTAACATGAGATCTTGGGGACAAGAAATGGAAAAGTTATGGTTTAATAATCACGTGTGTGTCAAGTTGACAAGGGTCAATTATGCTGAACAGCTTCAGGTGTCAACTTGAAACACGTGGGAATTCCTCAGTTGAGGAATTCTCTCTATTAGACTGGTCTGTGGGCATGTCTGTGAGGCACTTTCCTGATTATTGAGTGATGTGGGAGGGCCCAGTCCACTGTGGATAGGGAGGGGTAAGTGGTCCTGGGTTGTATAAGACAGCAGACTGATCACAGGCCAGAGGAGCCAACCAGTAATCAGCTTTCCTTCATTCTCTTTCCTTCAGGCAGGTTCCTGCTCTGAGTTCCTGTCTGACTTCCCTCAGTGATGGGACTATGTGTGACCTGGGAGTTATAAAATAAAATAAAGCCTTTCCTCCCCAAGTTGGCTTTGGTCAAAGTGTCTTATCAAATAGACTACAACAGTAGGGGACTTAGTTCAATTCTGGGGGTCTGAACAGTTCAAAGTACCCTTAATATTCTTAAACACACATAGAGACATCTGACAGGTTCAATAGCCTGTGGCTGGATAGAATTTGAACGTTAGCAACAGTAACTATGGCAGCAACAGCCACAACCCAACAAAGTCTACTTCCTATAGACTTTCCCATCCAGTTTCAAAGAATCAGAGGCTGGTAGTTCAATCTTTTCTCCAGCTAAAACCTATTGTCTTCCTTTTGAGAAGGTGATGGTGTTTATGATATTAAGGGTGCTAACCATTTAAGACAATAATTAACTACTGTACTTTAAAAGAACAGTTTCATTGCCTTAAAAACTACAACTCTGGCTGGAGAGATGGCTCAGCAGTAAAGAACACTGACTGTTCTTGCAGAAGACCCAGGTTTGAATCCTAGCACCCACATGGCAGCTAGCAACTGTCCGTGACTCCAGTTCCAGGGGATCCAGCAGTCTCTTCTGTCCTCTGCAGACATTGCATGACAAGGGTGCACTTACATGCAGGCAATACACTTATACACATAAAATAAAAATAATAAATAAAATATTTAACAAAAAAACTACAACTCAGCTAAGATTGAAAGTTCAAAGGCGTTTAATTTAGTACTGATCAAAGTCATAAAGTTACTCAGGTAGACAGTTCATCAAAACATGTTTATTTTGGAAGGTAGATATCCTAGGTTTCAGCCTTTTTCCTTGGTCTACAAAGAGCACTGGACATATTTAGAAAACGTCCCCAAACTACTATTAGAATTAATAGTATTTTCAGAAAATTTGCATTTTTCAATTTTCTCTGAAATGATTTATATTAGCCAGTCATGGGTCAAGAACCAGAATTACTTGAACCGTACTTTGGTGAGAGTGTCTTCGCATTTGGAGACACTTGTGCTGGTGAAGTATAAAGCTTACTTGCCAATCTTGGTCTGCATCCAAAGTAGTAGTTATTTAAAAGTGAAGTAGGAATGAGAAAATAGCTTATCATTTATTTTAGGAAAGACTGCAAAGCATGCAATTATGTAATAAAACCCCCTACAGGTACAGTTTTTTCAATCTCAGTCAGAGTTGGGAATTTGCTTCAGGCATTTTCCCTGGGGCTGGGACTGAGGGAAGACTCAAAACAAGGGAAAGAACCAGGGCACAGAACACCAGTCTTCTCTAAGCCAGCGTAGACAGGATCTTTGCACAAATCAATCAGCCTTGCCAGCCAGTGGGTGGAGCCGACAGGGGCATGCAAAGTGGACCCGAAGCTTCACCGAGAAATTTGATGACTCTGCAGATGAGTTACATTCTTCTCTGAGCTACGACAACACACAACTTTCTATTTTACTACGACAGTTTTTTCAGACTAGCTAGCTCTGTGTACTTTCAATTTTGGATGAAGTGCCTGAGGGGGATCACACTACACATCTGTGAAGCGTCCTGGTTACATTTACAAGCCTTGCTCTTGTCCCCAAGTGAATGCAGGAGAACATACTGACTATCCTTGCAAAAGGTAGTTTGATAGTCAAACTCAACTATTACTGAGATCCAGATGATTAGTCCCTCTGCTTTTCTGCCTGGGCCCAGTCTGTACTGACCCCTGGGCCGCAGCTCTCTAGGAGTGAGGATCAGCTCTGCTCCAGTCCCACCACTGCTCAGTGTATGTATGACCACTGGCTGTAAGTTAATACAGATCATATTGTCATCTAATGCCATACTAGCCTGAATGTGCCCAATTTTGTCTGACTGTCAACTTCACAGGATCCAGAATCATCTAGGGAACAAACCTCTGGGCACGAGGGAGTTTCTACATTGGGTTAACTGCAGTGAAATGAGTTATTATCAATGTGGGCAGCACTACAACATGGGTGGAAGTCTTCAGACTGAAGAGAAAAAAAGCAAGCAAGCAGAGAATCAGCCTCTCTCTCTCTCTCTCTCTCTCTCTCTCTCTCTCTCTCTCTCTCTCTCTTTCCTGCCTGTGCATATAATATGACCAGCTGCCTCACACTCCTGCCACCATGCTTTCCCTGTCAAATTGTGAGACAGAAGAAATCCTAAGTTGCTTCTGTGAGGCTTTTTGTCATAGTAACAAGAAAAGTAACAAATACACTAGAAAAATCACTTATTTCCATCAAAGATCTGTTAATTTCTATTATTATTGAACATTATAACTCATATTTCCCTCAAAGAGAACTAAACAGTTACCAGGTTTTTAAAAATTTGAGTATGTTAGCCATGATGTGGGTGCTGGGAACCAAACCTGGGTCCTCTGCAAGAGTAGCCACTGAGTCATCTTATCTAGACCCTTGAAATGTGATGTTTTTTTAAATTTTTATTATTTTTATTTTATGTGTATGCATGTATTGCCTGCATGTAGGTAAGTGCACCCGTGTTGTGCAATGCCTGCGAAGGTCAGAAGGGGCTATCGGGTCCTCTGGGACTGGAGTTACGGGCAGTTGTTAGCTGCCATGTGGGTGCTGGCATTTGAACCCAGGTCTTCTGCAAGAATAACCAGTGTTCTTAACCGCTGAGCCATCTCTCCAGTCCCACAACATAACTTTTTAAATACCAGTTCATTCAACTATTTGAGGGAGGTGATTTTTCCCTTTATGTGCTACTAACAATGCATCTTATAATGAGTCAAGAATACTTAAGTAAATATTCACCAGAAATATTCTAAAAGAGGTAAGCAGTAACAAAGTGAAACAGGAAAGAACAATTAAAATTAAACAAGTAAAATATAGTATGGACATGATGTGTAAGTCTTAGAAGTCAAACTGAGTATCATCTGTATCTCATTTTTCTCACAGTTCAGTTTTCTTTTAAATATCCTTCTATTCAGTGACAACTACTATGACTGAAGTTCACATCAGTGCATTTTTGGTTTTTCAAGTTTAATTAGATGACAAATGGTTGTATCAACTACTGACTGCTTAAAAAGCACACGACAGATCAGGTACAAGGCCAAAGACATTTCCTTACTGTGCCATTGCTTGATTTGGTTCAATCACTGAACTTTCTGAAAGAGAAGAAAAACAATTTTAGAATATTTTCAACAGTGCTGTCCCTAATAGAAAATTTAAATTGAGGAACAGTTAGGGATTTTCTTGAAAGATAGATAACATAATACAGGATTTACTTGCTGAATCACACAATCACAGTCAACCATTCCAACATTCACCTTAATTAATATTCAGGGCAAGATGAGATACATAAGTAATAAATCACTGATCCTTTGGATCAAACACTAGCAATCTCCCATTTTGTCTGTTTTTGGGTGCCTAAGATAGAAGCAAGAATAAAAGCTAGCATTATCATTATTATTTTAATTTGAAGTATTTAAAAGAAGATTAAGGGCCTTTATACAAATGTTTCTATTTTGCAGGCTAAAATATAATTTATACTAAAGCAAATTATTTTAAAATCATACAAATTTATGGTGAAATAGACCCAAGCATTCTGAAAGAAAAAAAAAAAACCACAACAGTTTTCATCACTTTTGTTTTTTGGAGGGTCTCATGGATGTATCCTTGGCCTTAAACTCACTGTGAAGCCAAGGATTACCTTGAACTTCTGATCTTCTTGCCTTCACTCCCAAATGCTAGGGTTACAGGCTTATATTAGCATGCTGGTTTATGGGGCCTGGGGATTGAACCCAGTCAGGGTTTCCTGCATGCTAGGCAAGCAATCTACCAACTGAGCTACGTCCCCAGGCCTGTATCACTTACCTTCACAACATCTTTCTTGTCTAGATAGTTTCTGGGGAAAAAAAAAAAAAAAAAGATTTTTACTTTGTAAATTTCTAAACACTTGTAGAAATTTAAAATACAAAAGAAACAAAAGCAAACTCTGTCAGTAGGGTTTGAAGTATGCATTTTTCTGACAATGAAATGGAGTACGAAGTCTAGAGAAACCCACCTTTCTTCTTCTCCACATCCTACCTTGCAGTGTATATGATCAACGCTGTAGGAATGAGTCTACATGGAAGAGTGGCGATGCACTAAAGAAATAATCCCTAGTTCTGTTACCTTTTTGGTTCACATACGTGAGATTCTAGGTCTAGAACCAAATCCAGTTAACAGCAGGCCTAGGACCCTCTTCCTGCTGAGTTGACTCTAGAAATAGTAAATTCATCTCACAATTATACCACTTCTCTCTCCAAGATCAACAAACTAGAATATGATACATAAATCAAACTCTGCCATAGCTGTTTTTGGGCCATGAAAGATCCTTTTAGAATACATGTGAATCAGAGGAAGATGGAAGTTTTCCATATCAAGATATGGCATTTTAATAAAGTATTATTTAAACAACTAGATATACAAATTGATCTGATTTTAAAGATACACTTTAATTTTTATCTCATAAATCCTCATGCATTTATTAATACTAACAAGTCATAATATTTTTTCTATGAGTTTTTGCCCAAGTTACCCAATTACAGGACTGATTTTCCTATAACTTAGTTCTTTATACATCAGGATATATTTCATTTTAATTATAAAGAAATAAATTCTTATACTCATCATGTTAAAGATCTACTTGTTCCCACATTTGGCTCTTTATCCCAAGCCGGGCTTTTAGAAGTTATTATTATACACCTGGAGATTTCTGGAACAAACAATTCAGGGCCCAGAGTGTGGACAACAAAGACAAAGCCTTGGTTAGTTTGTACAGCTTGTTTTCCAGTCCTCTCCCTCACATCAACTCTCACACTCTTGGGCAAAGCAGAAATGCATAAGCTTTTGCCTCAAGCTTTGTTTTCTGGGAACTCTGACCAAGTCAGACATTAAAGACATTACTAATTTCATTCTCTTCTGAGGCATTCATAGAGAGTTAAAGTGGATCAAAAAAGGCAGGCATCTTTTGAGAGAAACCAGTGCAATCGTGAACTAAATAGCCCTAAGACCACCTCTCCTGAGAGGTACATTTACTCTACAGGTTTCTGCAATCCTGTGGGCACTGGTAGGGCAGGCAGAGCATGATGTTAAGAGTCCTCCCCTCCTGTCCAGTGCCACCATCTTCACAGATTGCAACATCCCACCCTTACTTGGATGCTTTATCAGTGCTTATGATTCTCTTCCCATTTGACCTGGTGAAAGGAAAACCCAGACGGAACTCAGCTCCTGATGGAGACCCAGACTCTACTCCATCCAGCTTTATCATTGCTGAGGAGATGCCCACCTGACCTCTCTCCCTAACATTGAATTCCTCGGGAGTCAGTAAGACCAAAGAGTCTGGGCTCTTGCTAAGAGACTGGAATCAGTACCAGTTTTCCACTACCAAGGTAAGTTTGGGAAATTTACTTAACTTCTTTAAGCTTCACTCAGATCTTCCACTTGAAAAATGGGAGCACCATGGGGCTGACTTCTCTGAATTATTATTGAGATTAAATGGGTAAACTAGAAGTGTTTAGTATAAAACCTGGCACGTAGGACAGACACTAAAAGCAGCTTGATGTCTTATGTAAAAGAAAAGTGGGGAGGTGTCCTATGGGGCTGATTAAGACTGTTTAGGGAAGTAAAACAGAAGCTGTGATTGAAGACAAGCAAGCCAGCTCTGAGATCTCTGTGTGTGTGTGTGTGTGTGTGCACCTGTGTGTGCCTGTGTGTCTGTGCATGAGTGTTTTGCCTGCATGTAAATGCACCATGTGTGTGCAGTGCCCACAGAAGCCAGGAGAGGGCACTGGATCTGGTTGTTAGCTGACATCTGGCTGCTGGGAACTGAACCAGGGTCTTCTCCAAGTGCAGCAAGTCCTCTTAACCACTGAGCCATCTCTCCAGTCCCAAAGCTGAGGATTTTTACTATTAATTAACTTAAAAACCAACCTCAGGAAGAGGTGGGAATGATGCAAAGACAGTATTCATGTATAAAATTCTCCAGAAAAATGTTTTTTAAAATAGAAAAAAATAAATCGCCCACCTCAGCCCTAAAGGACGGATACTTGTTAACAAAGACCACTGGCTCCATGGAGAGAGCAGAAGTGTAGAACACAGGCAAATTAGAGTGCCACCCATAAGCAGGGCAAATGAGAAGTGTGATTGTAAAGCTGCTGTGCATTCTGAAAATGCTAATATGCAGAAAATATCTGAAAGGAAATGTTTTCAGAAAGAAAACATAATGCTGATTGGCTGGAGAGAATAAACGTGAGCAGCAGGGCTGGGGACAGAGGACTTTTAGCTTTTTCATTTGTCCCTCTTGAAGAATATAAATGTTATCTATTTAACAAAACAAAGACAGCTTGAAATTTGCCATACTATTTGCATGTCCATCTTTTCAGGCACTAGGGCAGTTTGTTGACCTCCTGCTCCCTTACTTCTCTCCATCTAGAGGTACCTGTTCAAACTGAACTTCTGTAGATGCTAACTTGCACATATGGGACTATTGATAGGTTAACATTAACAAGTCGACATTCACTTAATCATCCCTTTGAGTCTCTACATACTCTCTGGCTATTGGACTATGGGCTGACTTTCCTCATGTCCTTCAGCAGTCCCTGTGGCAAAGAGAACATGTATGACAATTTTCATGTAATATTCAACATCTATTTAAAACAAAAATTTGGGTTGGAAGGTATACTATGTACTTAGCATGCATGAGACCCTAAGTTTCACCCTCAGCATCAAAACTAAAAACTACATTTTGGACAAGTACCTTCTTTGTATTAGGTTTGTGCTAAGCTCTGGGGACACATAGATGAAGATCTGCTGCTTCTGAGAAGCTCAGAATCTTACGTAGGAAATATATGCTGACTTCTTGTCCAAGCTTTAGAGTACTATACCCAAGACCTCTTTCTATAGGGCTACAGTGTAATTTTCTATATTGTCCAAACTGAGATCATGGTGAGTACTGAGATCAATAAATTGTTTCTTCTGAGATCATGGACAAGAGATACCCAAGAAGAGCCAGCAGGCAGTAGAGGCAGAGAAAGAGAGGAGGAGAGAAATCATTAACAGGGCTGTTCTGAACTACCCTCCAGTTCCACAATCCAGATCTGTGACCTATTCTCAAGGTTTCTTGGATTCTTTCAAGTGTTTTATTTTCCATACATATCCTTAAAGAGGGTACTGACAGTCTGTATTCTTTGCCTCCAGATTTGTAGACAGATGTAGCTGGCCTGACTACAAAGGTAGTACTGTCCCCAAACAGACCAGCCATAGTAATTCAGAAACTAACAGTGATGGGGCCAAGGGGCACACCTGTAATCCAACCTCAGCTCGTCACCTTTCCCTGAGATTTTCCAAATGGTACTGTGGGGGTGATGTGAGTCTAGAATACCCAGAAATCATGGTTCTTGGTCGGGGATGAGCTCTGTGAGTGAAGCTGAACACACAAAATTAAAATGTACAGCACACATGTGAGCTGGTCCAATGAACTTCTCATTTTTCCTGGAACAAGTCACGTTTTTGTTTGTTTTTTGTCATTTGAAACCAAAAGGAACCTTGATTAAGAGGGTTCCTAGTCCTTGAAACCAAACAAGGTTAACACTTAACACGCTTGGTACCAGGTAATAAAAGCCACATTACTAGAATTAGCACAGCCTCTGAGCATGCTGCATGAGATAGGTTAAATCTACTGGCTGGTCATGGTGGAGGTATCAGAGGAATCACAATTACAAGCTTGCAAAATTGGATGTTTTGCCACAGGATGCAAACAAGTCAAGCTCCACTGTGAACCTGGCACTTAGCTAAGTCAGTGTATTACTTTGCTTCCCTACTACTATGATAAAACATTCTGACCAAAAACAACTTAGGGAGGAAAGGGTTTATTTGGCTTACTCATCCAGATCACAGTCCATCATTGAAGGAAGCCAAGGCAGGGACCTGGAGGCAGGAACTGAAGCACAGAGCACAGAACACAGACCAGTGCCTATTACTGGCTTGCTCCTCTGGCCTGAGCTTAGCCAGCTTTCTTATACAGCCCAGGACCATCCAGGTGGCATTGACCACAATGGGATGAGTCCTCCCACATCAACTAAGAAAATGCCTCACAGACATGGCCATAGGCCAATTCAATGTAAGTAATACCTCAACTGAGGCTCCCTCTTCCCAGGTGTATCAAGTTGACAACTGAAACTATATAGCACAGTCAGAACCACAAAGTCGGCTAATGACAGAACAAAATGAATAGTCCAGTTCTGTGCTAGAGAATGGCTACAGAAGAAGCTGGAAATGTATGCAAGAACAAAGTATAAAGGTCATTAATTGCCACATGCTAAGAATTTAGGGTTCTAATTATTAGACAATGTAAGCCAAATCAAGGCTTTGACAAGGACCACAAGATTAAATTGATCTTGGAAATTTGATGGAGGGTAAATCTGAGAGAACAGAGGCAAGAATACCAGGTAAGAGTCCAGAGCAGCTGTTGGCAAAGTTCAGCCCACAGGCCACATGTGAGTCACCGCCTAGTTCTGTAAATGAAATCCTATTAGAATACAGACTTGTTCATTTGTATGTATGGCTTCCAAGCCAGCAAGGCAAGTTTAGTCATTTTTTTTTTTAATCTTTTTGAGACAGTTTCCCTGTATCCCCACCCAGCTGCCCTGGCACTCACTGTGTAGACCAGGCTGGCCTCCAACTCACAGAGATCCACCTGCCTCTGCCTCCCAAGTGCTGGGATTAAAGGCATGAGCCACCTCACCCACCAAGTTTAGTCATTTTAAAAAAGGATGTATGGTTCATGATGTTTAAAATATTTAGGATATGGTCTTTTATAGACAAAGATAGTCTCAAGTCCAGGGACAAGATGATGATGTAGAAGGCTGGGAAGGTGTACCTGGCAGGAAAAGAAAGGTAAGCCTGAGAGGCACCAGACACTGACAGAAGAAAGAGAATATGACAAGGCTAGCTCTGATGATATGAGGAGATGTCCAGGGAAGAGCACAACCTAGGGGATAAGGAGTTCGATTTTGCAAATTCTGAGCTGGAGATGCCTGTGGGTCACTCACATCTAAGCGCTATTCTATTCCATTGAAAAGGGAGCACAGAACTAGAGAGAGGCAATAATGTGTACAACAGCAACAAAAGGAGAGTAGATGGTATGGTACACATGGAACAAGTCAAGGCCAAGGATGGAATCCTGGTTCATAACACCCAAGAAGCAGGTGGAAGAAAAGTGTCATGTAATGCACATAATCAGTATGGAGACAGCTAACTAGTAGATCCCAGAATTAACACAATCTCAGAGGAAGGCTGTTTGAGAGAAGAAATTGGTTCTTAGCCCAGCACGGTGACAACATGCCTGTAATCGAAATTTCTCAGGAGAGGCAAGACTAAGTTCCAGGCCAACTTGGGTTACATACAGCTCAAGGCTAGCCTGGGGAACCTAGCATCTGTCTTGAAAAGGGAGGTGGGGGAAGTGAGGCTATAGCTTAGTGGTAGATCATTTGCCACTGTTGCTAGGGTGGGGGGTATTGTTGTTGTTGGTTTTTTTTTTTTTTTTTGAGACAGGGTCTCACTATGTAGCCCCTGCTGGCCTGAAACTTGCTACAAAGACCATTCCAGGCCGTCCTTGATTTCACACGATGATCCAGGGGTAAGCTGGGTGGAGGTTCCCCAAGGGCTCATTTCTAAAGAGAAAGGCCTTGGTTCTTGGCTTCTTAGTTGAGTCTCTTGGTTTGTTGTAGAAGCCATGCTGAAAAGTTGGCTTATACAAAAAAGGAGAGCACTGGCTCACAGAATCCAAGTGAATTGAACCCTAGGCTGTGTAAACAGGCACCATGGACACAGTTGTGTCCAAGGACTCAGGAATTGTCTTAGTTCCTCAGCTTTTCTCTGCAGGTAGGCCCATCCTTTTCTCTCACTGAAGAGAGATTTGTGGTTCAAAGCATGGCTCCCAGAAATCCTGGGGTATCATATGATAGTTTCAAGTTTTAAGGAAAAACTGACTTTCTTAGCAACCAAAAACTCAAATCAAAGCTTCAGCAATTTTTTTCTTCCACAAAAAATAGAAAACTCAAGTCACTTTAAGAAAAATGGAGGTGGGGCAGGGATGGGGATAAAGCTCAGTGGGAGAATGCTTGCCTAGCATGCATGAGGGCTTGGAGTCAATCCTGAGCACTACTACCAAACAAACAAATAAGCAAGCTTCCCTGGTTTAGCTGGAAGTGGTGAGTATCCCAGTACTGTAATCCCAGTAATTTCCTGAGATAAAACCTTACATTTTGGAGGGAAGCTGGGCAAATAACAAAATGTTCTAAATAAAGGTAAACAACAGACTATCTAAAGGGGGTAAACAACAGGATGTTTTGAGGGGAGGTAAACCATTATATCCTGCAGGAAAGCTTTTTAAGCTCAGGAAGTAAACAACTCAACAGCTTCAGAAAGACCCTGAAACTAGGCCTCTTTGCCTTTATATACATACATACATACACTAAGGACTGCCAAGAGAAACTCTTAGTATAGCCAAGACAGGCAAGCCAGTGAAGCCCCCTGGAAGAAACAAAGACCAACTTAGATGCCTGGAAGAGGCTCAAACCAAGTAGGCTACCAGGAAAAGACCCTCTCCAACCTGTTGCGCTGCAGCAGGTTGTGCAGTGCACTCCAGGCTTTTGTGAGCTGTCACCCATACTGGGTGGGCTTTGGTGATGCTGCTGTGGGTCCTTTCTACTCCTGTAAACCCTTACCTATATTCCAATAAAACTCATTGGTTCACCAAGTTGGACTTTGGTGGTATCCTTACTTTGGTCTATTGTTGGTGGTTCCCTACCTGGGGTGAGTCTCCCTAGGAATAGTGTCATATGACACTGAGGCAGGAGGATTTTGAGTTTCAGGACAACATGGGCTACATAGTGACTGTTCCAAAAAAGAAAAGGAAGTTGTCCACAAAGAAAAATATGGGATCATCACAATTTTATCTATGCATGCATGCATTCTTTGCCTACCTTCTCACTAGACTGAGTTCCATGAGTGGAGGGACTTTGTGTCTTGCCTACCTCTAGTGTTTAGTGTACTCCATGCCATGTAAGTTGGTGCTCAAAATTTGTTGACTGAGTGAAACCAGAAGGAAACAAAGGAAAAGAACATATAACTAGACTTCTGTTCAGTACAGGGAAGCTAGCTACGGTGTGAAATGTGGTTAATTCAAATGGATATACAGTGCAACACGGGACTTTGAAGACCCAGCACCCCAGACTAGCCATCTCACATACCCACTTCTCTAGGTTTATGCTCACTAACCAGCAGCAAGTGAAGCCATAGGTTCTATGTAGAATATACAGTCCTCACAGTCCTCCATCAAGTGACTTATCCAGAGTCCATAGTACTCATATTTTAGGTTTCTTTTACAATATTGGAAGACATGACATTTTATCATATTTATTCAATTATCTTGCCCTTTTGTTCTATTTGTTTTTATATAGTCTTTTCTTTTGATTGGCAAAGAATGAATGAATGAATAAGCAGACAGGTGTGCTCTGGCCCCAAAACAGTGGCGAAAGGATAGGATCAGCTCAATGAAGAAACATAACACGATATAGGCACAATATTTTACTGCAGAGCCTCAAATGCACATAAAATAGTTTCAGTAGAAGAATAGAAGAGATGGAGAGTTCTAAATTAGGAAGAGGAGGAGGCCCCAGACTAGTTTCAGCTGAGTTCCAATTATTTTCACTTCCATCCAAGATGGCCCACTTCCAGGCTCTTGTCCAAAGTTGGCCCTTTTGGCAGGCTTTTCCCCAACTTGCAGGCTCCCTCTGGTGGAAATTCCACCCTTGTTTTACCCAATCAGGTTTCTGCTTTCATGTGAGTGAACCAAACACGAACCCTGTCCTGCCCAATCCAAAGGGGGAAAGGGGAGCCCAGTTCTGTCCCACCTCCTATTCTATGGAATATAAAAGCCCAGATTATTGAGGGGAGTAGACAGTGATGCTCCAGCTCTGAACCCAGTCCTCTGGGGGAGTCTGTCTCTTTATGTGCTGTGTGTAGTGCTACTTTCTTGACAAGGGGCCAATAAATCTTGGCTGTGTGCTGTGACTGCAAACTTCTTGTCTTGTAGTTTTTTATCTAGCAAAGAAACTGGCCCCAGAAAAGACCCTAGCGGCATCACAAGGACCACCCATCACTTACATTATATCTAAAAATACTAAAATTTTGTGTATTTCCTCCTCTGCAGCACAGTATGGCACTAGAGGCAGCTCCTGTCAATAGATTGTATAATGTTGAGTCAATTCCTTAACCTCTCTGTAATTCAGTTCTTTAAGTATAAAATAATAAAATCAACTATTTATCCTTTAGTTACTATACAGGTTAACATAAAAGCTTATAACAGCAACAGAACTTATCTTTTATTAAAGTATAAGCACTACAGCTTCTCCTCCTGTAACTATTATTACCTATGGCCTGGTTTGGCAAGGACAGTCCTGAGCATGTACTCACAAATGAGCCAGTCTGTAAGTGCAATGTGAGACTGCTTGGCCAGAGAAGGAGGGAACACAGTCTGAGGGTGCAGCTTTACTGCTGGGCAGGAGTGGGAGACTCTAGAACTCTGGAGTGGGTCCAGTGGAATTCTTAGGAAAATGTTGGGATTTAGTTCTGGATACTCAATACTTAAAAGATCAGTTCTGCTACTGTTTTCTGGAGATTAAAAAAAAGAAGAAGAAGAAAAGAAAAAAAAAAATCCAAGCTGGGCTGGTGGTGCACACCTTTAGTCCCAGGACTCCGGAGACAGAGGCAGGCAGATCTCTGTAAGTTGGAGGCCAGCCTGGTCCACTTAGTGAGTTCCAGGCCAGCTGTGGCTACAAGACCCTGTCTCAAAAAGACAAAACAAAACAAAAAATCCAGTAACTTTATTTACTAAAAAATAAATATTAGATTGGATTTAGAGATGATTGTGCTTGCTTTTTAGAATGAAACAAGCAAAATATTTTTAAGTGTCTTTTTCAGATTTATTTTTAAAATGCTGCTCCCAGGGGCTCTCTTGGGGTACGAAATGCGGGTCAGTAATAATTCACCTATGCCACACGTTAAAGTGATCATTCTACCACACGTTATTTAAATGCTACTAAGGTAGACTAGGGTAGTTTGTGGGGTCAAAAGACCACAAAGTCTTGATTTCGGAAATTCCTACTCATCCAGGCTGTATCTCAGAGGTGATCCGTTTTTGGAACCCTGCATTTGGGAGTTCTATCTAGGAGGTCCAAAGTTAACAACATTGCTAAGACCAAGCAAGTTATACGCGGTAAGTAGTCTTCAACTACAATCAAGGGATGCTCGTCCCTATAAGGCACTAAGTTGTTTCCAAAAATAAGTAAAGAATTGGGGGTAAACACAAGGACTGAGGACGGAGCTGGAGGTCCTGAGATGGAGCGTGACTATTCTCCTTTTGGCAGCTCGGGAGGGGTGGCACTGTCTAGCTGCCACGCACGCTCACGCAGACAGCCTGCCCCTCCTCCCGGCCGGGCGATCTTACCTTCTCCGGCGGTGCTTTGGCAACCGGGCGGCCCCGGAGCTCCAACCTGCTGGGGCAGAGAAGTTTGTGGAGGGGGAGGGGGGCACTCAGCTGTGGTCCCAAGGGAGGGCTGGGTTCCGGCGCTCACGGGGATGTCACTGCGGGGCTGCTTACCCGCGGGAGATCCGACCACCACGATCCCGCGAAAGGTGGACCGGGAGGACCAGCTCTGCTCGCCACTCGCTGAGATTTCGGAGCTGCGAGCCTGCAGGGACGCCGTGTCACCATGGAGACTGGACTGGCTGCCACTCCCACCTCGGAAGCCGCGAGAGCAGCCCAAAGACAAGGCCGCCGGACGCAGCGGCCGGGCAAGCGGGGCGGAGCGCGGCGGGTCTGCAGAAGGGCGCACGGGGCGGGGCGCAGTGGGCGGGATCAGCGGCTGGAGCCACCTGGAGGGCTAAGCGAGCGGCGCGCGTGGCCCATCGCCCCGAGAATTTGGGGGTCACGCTGCGTGGCAAGCTTGGAGTGAAGACTCGGGAACAGACTTGCGCTCGTGCCCAGGTTACTTTGAGAAAGGCTGGAGAAACGGGGACTGAAAGATCGGTTTCCATACCTGATGCTGATTCTAGGTGGCAGAGGGAAAGTTGGGAGGGATGGGTGCCTCTGAATGTCGATGAACAAATATCCCCTGCAGGTTAAGTCCCCCAACCTGAGATCGCCCGGAGAAGATTATGGGTTTCTTGGGGATCTTGACATCAGGTCTCTTAGAGTTCTGGTTCAGACTCGCGTTTCCCACCAGCCCAGGCCAAGTCTGGGATCCCTTTTGCGCCTGGGCTGCTACTGAGGCACCTCGGCTAGCGGGAGGTCTTACTGCTGCACTGCTTCCATCACAAAAGAGGGTGAGAGAGCTGTCTGTTAGAAAATCTAATTGTTTGTCAAGCCTATCTTCTAAAGGAAAAAAAGAGCGGCTTTTTTTCTGCCACGGAGGTGAAGAACTTGTTGCTAGGCAACAAGTTTTGTTGGCATCAAATCTGAATTCGAATTTCACATAACAGCCAAAAGATATGGGATATAATTACTTTCTTAAGGACTCTCTGGGAATATGTACTTTACTACAAGTTTTAATGTATGGAAGATGCCTAACTGACATCATAAAAGTAGAATCAGCCAGGGGCTGGAGAGATGACTCAGCAGTTAAGAACACTGTTCTTGCAGAAGAGCCGGGTTCAGATCCCAGCACCCACATGGCAGCTAACAACTGTCTGTAACTCCAGTTTCAGGGGATCTGACAGCTTCTTCTGTCCTCCGTGGGCATTGCACAACACAGATGCACTTACCTACATGCAGGTGCACTTACCTACATATATGCGTAGACATAAAATAAAATTTAAAAATTAAAAAAAAAATAAATCAGCCAAATGGTTCAGAACCAAAAGTATACAGATTCAGATATCTGAAATTCTCTGATTTCTCTGGCCACAGTCACTCTCTTAAGTTTTCCTGAACCATGAGTGGTAGGACAGCTTCAAGAAAAGAAGCTAGAATGGAAGTGTGAAGGACTCAGTGAAACCATAGACAAATAAGTGATTCATTTGGTGAGGATCCAACAAGCCACTCTGTTAATGGACATGCTCGTGTCAGATGAAGTTTTATGGAAGATCTTTTGCTCAGTCAAGGCAAAGGAAAATCGTATTTCTTGATCATATTTGAAAATACTGCTGGGTGTGGTGGTGCAGGTTTTTAATCCCAGCACTGGGGAGGCAGAGGCAGGTGGATTTCTGTGAGTTCAACACCAGCCTGGTCTACATAACGAGTTCCAGGCCAGCTCAGGCCACAGGAAGACCCTGTCTCAAAAAGACCAAAAAAGAAAAAAAAGAAAAAAAAAAGAATAATTTTGTTGAATTTTCTTAGTGTTGAGTAGATAGCGGCAAACTGGCCATTCCCACTGTCCTACTGTAAGGAAATGTTAGAGAGTATTAACTGACCCAATTAATCTGTCTCTTTCTTCCTCCCCTATCCCCCAAGAGAAGATCTCAAGCCCATTTATACAATTTGGGGTTTTTATTAGTAATGAAAAAGGGCAACAATGGATTAATGACCTTGGAGAATTAAAATATTCTCTCCACATAGACCTGGTTTCCACCTTGGACTTCAGGGTCTCAGAGTGCAAAGTAAGAATGCATGTGTACTATATCTCAGAACATGGGACTAGAAAATAAGTAGAGCCTTTTAGACTGGCCCCTAACATCTGATCAATGACTCTAAGGTGACATTATGACTTCTGTTGTATTATGCATCTGAATAAAAGAACCTAGTTTCAGGGTAGCTGTAAGGATTAAAGATCATTCCAGTAGAGTGCCTGGCCCAATGCCCATTCAAACTCACAATGTTTGTCTTCTCTGATGAAAAAGCATTATAGTTCATCTTTATTTGTATAACATCGGAGATAATCCACCCAATTCTATAAACTTTGTGTAGAAGTTATCTATATAATATTCAAACATAAAGCAAAATTTAGCTCTGGACTGTGCATTCAGATACTGAATAAATTTGTCTAAAATACTGTCTAGTAAGGAGTTGTTCTAAAGAAGTGAAGGAAAAAGCCAGCTCCTCAAACAAATATTGAATCACTCCACAGCAGCTACCTATTATTAAACTCCATAGTTTTTTGTTTGTTTTGGTTTGGTTTTTTGGTGTCCCAAGGATTGCACCCAGGTCCTGGTACTCACTGGACAAGCACTTACCACTGAGCTTTGTCCCAAGCCCCAACTCCATGGTTTTTAGTGGATAAATTTTTATTACAGATCTGAATGTTAGCAGAGTATGATACAAAAAATGTCTAAATAACATTTAGTGTTTTCTGATTATAAACTACAGGACTGAGGGTGTAGTTTAGTAGTAGAATATTGGTCTAGTGTGTGTCAGACCCTGCCTGGATTTAGTGCTTAGTACTACAAACAGCAAACAAATAGTCCCCTTCCCCAACAAAAAGAAAAAACAGAATACTGATACATTCTCATGATGGACAATTTATACTATACCAATTAAAAAAAAATTAAACTACTCCGAATTCCACCACCCAGGAGTAACCTCAGTCACTAACTCTCTGTTTTACTTCTAGCCTTCTTTTGTGTGCATATATATATAACATTGACCCGATTCAGGTCAGAGTTGTCACAGCTGGTCTGAGGAAAGCCCGCAACAGATATACTCATTTTCATTTTTTGAAATGGAGTCTCACGACATAGTGCTGTAGCCCCAGCTGTCCTGGAACTCACTATGTAGACCAGGCTGGCCCAAAACTCACAAAATCTGCATGCCTCTACTTCCCAAGTGCTGGGATTAAAGGCATGCCCCACTATGCCCCGCCTACTTCTTGCTGCCTACTTCTTGAATGTTTCTCCAGTATCTTTTAAGTCTTCAAAACATTTTTTTGTTGTCTTTTTTTTTTTGAGGCAGGGTCTCCTTGTAGCCCCAGCTGTCCTGGAACTCACCATGTAGACCATGCTGGCCTTGAATTCACAGAGATCCGCCTGCCTCTGCCTCCCAAGTGCTGGGATTAAAGGTGTGCACCACCACTCCCAGCAAGTCTTCAAAAGATTTTAATGGGGACTGGAGAGATGGCTCAGCGGTTAAGAGCATTGACTGCTCTTGCAGAAGACCCATGTTCAATTCCCTACATGCACATGGCAGTTAAAGCTTTCTGTTACTTCAGTTCCAGGGAAATCCAAGTAATCTCTGTGGGCATTGCATGAGACAGGGTGCACTTACATTCATGCAGGCAATACACTCATACATGTAAAACAAAAATAATAAATTTTTTAAAAAACACTTTTATGGCCATATAGTAATATATAGTATATATAAACCACAACCAACCCATAATTTTTAGAAATATTTTATTTATTATTTTTATTTTATGTGTATGTGTGTATTGCCTGCATGTAGGTAAGTGCACCCATGTCGTGCAATGCTGCTGGAGGACAGAAGAAGCTGTCTGATTCCCTAGAACTGGAGTTACAGGCAATTGTTAGCTGCCATGTGGGTGCTGGGATTCAAACCCGGGTCTTCTGCAAGAACAGTCAGTGTTCTTAACTGCTGAGCCATCTCTCCAGCCCCCCGACCCATAATTTATTCAACTAGTCCCCAGTTTTGAAGTTTCTAACTTTTCTCCTGCAATCCACTGCTTCAGAAACCTTTATTGTGAGCTGCATATGAGGTTTTGTGCTGGAGGATGTAAGCAGTGAAAAGTAACTATAAGAAAGAAGATTTTGATGAACATCTTTGTAAATAAATCTTTGATGACATCTTTCATTCTTAGACTGAATTCCTGGGACTATGAAAACATAACTTCAAAAGGCATTCTTTGAGCTTCAAAGGCAAAGTTAAGAAACTAAAATTCTGAACTGTAAAATATTAACTTTTTGGAAAAGTACCAACAACAGACTTAATATTTATTTTGTGCAAAGTGTGAACTTAGCCAGAAGATGCTTTCTTGTTAGTTGCTGGGAAACACCAAGGGTGTTTGAAGTGTATTGACTTTGGCTTTTACCTCTAATTCTTTCCAGGATTTGCAGGGTTTTCTCAATAGTGTGAGATTGTTTGAAGTCTATGCAAATTACCCTACTTCCTCTTCTCACAGTGAACATGTTAATGACAGTGCCTTATCCCCCCCACCTTCTTGTAAACATTGACTTTTCTTCATTTCTTTCATTTATCTTGTGAAACATTTTATATCTTCACACTAACCTAAAGGCAGATTTCTCCTAAACCCAAATTATCATATACACATTCTATAAAGCACTGGACTTAACATATCATGTAGTTTTTGTCAAGAAAAATATACACTAATTATTGCATTTAGGGAGTTCCATAACAGAGTTTTTATGGAAGACAATAACCACTCCTGAGAACACACATATGTACACACATACTACATACATATGTACTCACATACATACTCAGGCAACACCTTGTACTTCTTTGACAATTAAAAATTAAAATATTAGGTCAAACCACATGCATTTGTGTGTCATTTGTGGATAAGAAATGGTCAGATAATGGCAACTGCATGTGACTTCATCTAAACACATACTTTTCAAATTAGTTTATATTTTTTTACCATTCTCCAAATATTGAACTTCCTGATTCTCCTACAAAGGATATCCTTTAATATTGCACAAGATTATGTTTGCCTTGGCTTTCATAAATGTTTGAATCTAGGCAGGAGGGTGCTTATAAACTGTTTATTATTTTAGAGTCAGTAGAGGGAGCTTGGCGCCAAAACATTATTATTGCACACATACAAATCGTAATTGTTTTTCCAATTCTTGATATATGAATGAATTTAAATACAGGCATATATAATATGTATATTATATATGCAATTCTTTAAAGTTGATGTGGTTAAATAATCACTTTAATAAGATGAGCAAGAGAAGATTGACTGCCAGTCTGGGCTGGGCTCTGTGAGGATACATCAGAATCCTGTTATTCTTGATTCTCAGTAATGCCAGAGACAGTACATTGCCTTGGTCACTCATGCTCAACGCTTTTCTCCCTTTTCAGCGCATAATGTAGATCACCTTCCACTTCCCTGGACATGGTATCC